TTTCTGCTTTGCATCAAGTCTCCAGGTAATTCCAATTGCTACTGAGTGTGAAAACTTCTCTAGCATCAATATGAGCACATGTCACCAGGGTTCTTCAATAAGGATATGTTATAATTCCACAAGTCTACAGTGAGACCTGGGGTCAGTGTCTAAGTTCCGAAGTGGTGGAGTAAGATTCTAGATTCCTCGTACAAGCATTTAGGAAGGAGGCAGCCAGAGACATGAATCAACAGTCAAGAACACTTGCCGCTCTTCCAGACAGCCTAACTTCTCCAGGGAACCTGATGCCCTCTTCTAGCCTCCTAGGGAACCCACAAACATGACAGACAGACAGACACACACACACACACACAGAGCGGGTCTTTAAAGAAAAAATAAAGGAGGTTCTGATCTCTGGCTCAGTTGATGGAGGACTTAAACCTAACATGCTGAGCCCTAGTCTGATCCCCAACACCAGGCGTGATCGCACACCTGTAATCCCGGCACTCAGAAAGTAAAGGCAGGAGGATCGTGAGTTCAGGGTTTTCTACTGTTACATAGGAAGTTTGAGGACAGCCTGGGCTACATGAGATCCTAAAGGAGAACATTTAAAAAGAGGAAAAAAATTTATCATAGATGAGTTGAAGTATTTGCTATGAGAAAATACTGAATGGCCCCTGTGCGCCTGCTAGCAGAGGAAAAACTAAAGTGTGTTCAATAAATCACATGGAAATAAGGCAAATAACAACACTCAACAGACTGCATATCATTAGTCTGTAGGTACTGAAAGAAACACCGAAACACTAAACTCAAGAATATAGGTTTAACTATGAGGGGAAGGGTGAGCCTATTCTGAAATGGAAACTTCTAGTTTCTCTGGAAAGTCAGTTATGTCAAATGGTGCTTTGCTGGGGCACACAGGTAAAAGGGTGTTTTGCTAAAGCAGACACATGAAAGAATGTTTTCCAGAAGCAGGTACAGGTGAAAGGATGTTTTGATACAGCAAACACATGACAGGACCTGTGATGAAGGAGTATAAATTTGACCCTTCAGACAGTGGGAGACAAGCACTGAACGTTGGTTTGATTTGCTCCGCCTCGATGTTCTTTGATAAGGACACGAATGTATTGGTTTGCTTTGCATAGCACTGTTGCATAGCACAAGTTGACTTGCGGTAATGCCACCATTGAGAGAAACTCGCCCAAGAACTGCTCATGAGGTTCCTGTGGCAGCTTGCCATTTCAGCAGCCTCACCTCAGGCTGGTTGGCGAGCCTTGTGCTGCCTGGTGTCTGCCTGCCTAGAGGACTGGTCTGCAGCTGCTGAGTCATATTTGGTGTTTGCTACAAGACTAAACTGCTTCCAAAGAAGACTGAGCTCACCCCAAAAGAACTATTACTGAACAGGTCCACTTCCCCCATATCCTAAAAACCTTTCTCTTCCACTACCTCTGCTAGGTGATGGGCTAGAGGAAAGGTTGAACTCTTATTAAAAGTAGGTTGCAAAAAAAAAAAAAAATGTATGCCTACACTCTTCTAAATCTGTTTTCTTTAAAAATAGGACAAAATAAAACAGTCTTAAGAGAGGGCTGAGCTTTGTGCTGTGTGCAGACAGGGCTACTTAATTATCCTAAACAAGCTGCATACATTGAATACATCTTAATTCTTAATTTATATATACCTTCATGTCGTGGACGATATTTAAATCTCCAACCCAAATATGACTGGTCAATGGAAACACAACTCAGTAATTATGAATATATTCTGTAAGCCTAGATTGGGCAGATTCACCACTTCACTACTCTGTTCCCCAGCTATGAGACCCTTATAACCTGAGGGTTTTCCAGACCCTGCATTTGTCCTTCTACCTCCTGCTTCCCAGTTGTCCTCCTCTGTCATCCTCCATCATCCTCGTCTCTCCTTTCTCTCTCTCTCTCTCTCTCTCTCTCTCTCTCTCTCTCTCTCTCTCTCTCTCTCTGCTCTCTTCCCACCAACCTTTGTATCTCCACCTCCCCTTCTTCTGCCCAATCACTGGCTCCAGCCTTTATTTTACAAATTAAGATGGGCAGAAGGTTCACTAGAATTCACCTGTGTAATGACTCACACCTCCTCTGCAGCCCTTCACAGGAAAGGGGAATTAGTATCAAAATACAAGGCCAGGGCTATCCACAACACCTTCATACACTCCTATGCTGAGAGTTGTCATTTATAATACCCAAGGGTAGACAGAAGGAACCCAAATGTCCACTGATGGATGAATGGGTAAGCTAATGCGTACCTCTACATGCAATGGTTCCATCTTCTAAAACGAAGGCAATTTTGACTTGTAGCCCAGTGCTGAAAGAACCTTATGGACATTATGTTTAGTGAAGTAAGACAGATAAGGCAGGGAGCTACAGAATCCCACTGATGTAAGGCTCCGCAGGTAGTCAAATTCATAAGCTCAGAAAGCAGAATGGTGGCCGCCAGGCCCTGGGGAGGGAGAAACGGAGGGAAGCCTGTGCTTGGTGAGAAGTTTCAGATTAGGAAGATGAGAACTGCTAAGGAGAGGGATTGTGGCATGGCTACACAACAAAATATGCAGATTTGATGCCACCCAACTGCACCCTAAAAATGATTAAAGCAACCCATTCTCTTATGCATGTGTTACTCATTTAAATTCAGAATAATGTGTATCCATCAGGAGGGGAATTCCCCAAACTAAAACTTAGGTTATCATGTAAGAGAATACTACACACTCAAAAAAAAAAAAAAGTAGGTCAAGCCACACTGCTGGCTGTTTGTCAAGACACACTGGTGTCACCAAAAAAAGGTGAACAGGAGACAGGATTCATTGGCACTGCATGGACCAGCTTCAGAAACTACTCAAGACACTAGAGACACTGACGGCTCAAGGGATGGGGAAACAGAATTTAGAGTGAGTTCAGGATCTAGATTGTCAAAAAAAGAAAAAAATCATTTTTAAGATACTGCTCTAAATGACCTACAGTACAAAGGGAGGAATGAGAAGGAATGCCCAGAACCACCTCACACCCGGACTCTAGACCTGACCTTGAGATAGAGCAAGAACCAGGCTCCAGCAGCAGCCTTTTCCAAATGTCCAGGATACTTTAAAATGTCCTGTCTCCCGAGCTGCAGCTCACTATGCAGAAACTATTCTGTCCCTGCCCCAAATACAATACATTCAGAAAAAGCTTAGTATCCTGAACTCAGTGTTTATGCGGCCACTGTGATAGCTCCTCATTCAGCAACGTTGCCTTCAGGCCATTTTCCTTTTAACTCCCAATGATCTTTTCTGAAGCTCTAATTCCTTGCTCCCAATGTAGAGACTTGCACTTAGGACCACTTCATTCTAAGGTCTGTGTTTCTTATCCACATGCAGGAAAATGTGGAGCTAGGTTGTTTTGTTTAGTTTCTTTTGTTGGTGGTTTGGTTTTTTTTGTTTGTTTGTTTGGGTTTTTTTTTTTTTTTGAGACAGGGTTTCTCTGTATAGCCCTGGCTGTCCTGGAACTCACTCTGTAGATCAGGCTGGCCTCGAACTCAGAAATCCACCTGCCTCTGCCTCCCAAGTGCTGGGACTAAAGGCGTGTGCCACCACTGCCCGGTGTTTTGTTTAGTTTTAAATAAAATAAGCATTCAGCACAATAGTGACTTTAGCAGCTTTATCAAGGGAAACATTCACCAAGAATTACTGAAAGTACTAGGTCTGGATTTGCTGCATTTTCAAACTAATCTAAGTTTTGCGTCATGTACCACTAAAACTCATATCCTCTGCGAGTTTTTAACCTAAACCCTAATGTTTAAGGTCATCACAACAGCTAGCGGCAAGCTTCGAAGAGTCCACAAGGTGGCGCTACAGACCTACAGGCCAAGCCCACAACCTAGTGAACTGTGTCCAAATCAGAGCAAAACAGCCTCTGGCTAAGATTAGAAATGAAGCTAATATGAAAGCCATCTTGTTCTTGTCTGGAGGGAAGGCTGTCGTCCAAAATACATTTGAAGTTCTAATTACATACTTTAAAACCCAAATGGCAAGCCTAACTTATCAGATGCTCTCCCTTCCAAAGGCAGGTCTACCTCTGCACGCTGGATCAGGGGCACTGCATCTTAAATACATTCCAGGGGCTCTCACCAAGTACACATCTCACATATGTTGGGAGGGGGGAGGGTACACGTGTGTTAGACACATCTGTAATAAGATTTTGTCTCGGTCCTATTAATATTCATTGAATTATAGTAAAATGGTTGTCTTCAATTCTAAGTTCTCAATAATTGGAGTTTCTCACAAATAGGAATAAATTTTTGTTCACTGAGGTCAAAAGATAAGTCTTAAAAGCTCATCACAAACACTAGGTGTGGCCTTCACACTCTCCTATCAGGTCACTGGCCGCCTGGGAATGTCTGGTGCTGTCTTACAAGCAGCTATGAAGGGTAGACCGGAGAGCATGATCCTGGAGTGTGAGCCAAGGTCCCCATCTCGGAACACCTACAGGAAGGGAAACTGCAAGGCTCCTGTGATTCAGGCACCTCTGATGGCCCTCCTCACGCCATTTTAAAACTTACAATCTACTTTTCAAACAGACATTTAAATTCAAAGCATGATCTGTACACCCCACAGCACTCCAAAGACTCTAAGAGGCCTGCGTTCCCTGGTGATTATATCCGTAACCCTATTTTCTAGGTGAAACACCCAAGGCATAAGTGAGCGTCTGCTCTCTGATGTGTTTCTTTCCAGAAGCAGTGGTCAGCATTCTTCTGGACTCATTTTCTAAGAATTTGAAGGGAACATAAATATCAGAAGGTATCACAAAACAGAATACACACCAGTCCCAGGCTAGCTGGGAAGAAGGGTGGGGTTGATGGATAGCTAAGCCACCTCCACAGCAAGTGTTCTAAGCCTTAGAAAGCATGCAGCAGACCACATGCCACTGTGAACGAGGAACTCGAATCTTATCGGCAGTGTGGGGAATAACACCTATGCGCTAACCACTGAGCACCTTTATCTCCAATTCATAACCAAACACTTTTGAGACAAGACTCAGAAACTGTTTTATTGAACTGAACACACAAAAGCCTGTTACAATGTCATCAAGCCTTTAACAGAAATCAGTACATACATGAGGATACACAGCCAAGATGAGCCAACATAAGTGGCACAAGCTTAAATAACATTCAGACTTCTATATTTAATAGGCTGAAGGAAAGAAAAACCAAAAGCAATTTCAATTTCATAATTCACAGTTGATTGGTTTGAATCCTGTGACGTCAGTCAGCTCTGTAGCCCCAGAACATAGACTGGCCCACTGTCCAATGGCCTGCTCAGATTCTCAACAGCCAAGTGACAAGCAGAGAGCGTGATATGACACGGCCCCACTTTCCGGTTTGGACTGGCATTTCTTTGCTGCGTCCTTTCTAGTGAACCAGCAAAAGCACATTTACAGGTCGCCACACTGACCACAGGCAGGGTTCCACACTCTCTCGGCCTCCTGCTTCATTTCTAACCTAAGACAGTAACTATATTAAAACGCACCCTTGATACTGAAAGCAAGATCAGCTTTGCTTCCGGATCAGGAGCACATACCCCAAAGAGGACGAGCATATCCCAGCAGACAGCTGGGATGCTTGACAACAGAGCCTGGCATACCCAATAAGGCATTTCAAAGACAACACACAAAACCCATGCCAGGTCACTGCCGTTGACTGGTGGGGGCAGGGAGGGGCAGACCATGGGTGAGCAGAGTCAACATGAGACTTACAAAATGACACACTGGCTTACAGAACCTTTGGTGGGTGATCAGATATCAAAAGAAGGCAGAACAACGACCAGCCACTTCCAGGAGGGTTTGCTCCCAATAGGGCTTTGCCTGAAGATAGTATCACTCACCCTGACATATGGAGTCATTTCTTAAAACCAACAAAAAAGCATCAGGTTGAGAGTGCATGAGAGGGGTCAGTGATGGAGAACACCATTCTCACGAGTAAAGGAGTGAAGTGAGGACAAACATGGACAGGGTGGTCGGAAAAGCCATTTAAAGACAGAAACAACCAGACAGACCCTGCATGAGTTGGTGTTCAACAGTGCAGTGAGATTTTAGCAATTGCTTTGGACTTCATTAAAACTACAATTTATAGCCTGGCATGGTGGTACATGCCTGTAATCCCAGCACCAGGAGGTGGAGGCAGGAGGATCGGGGGAGTTCCAGGTCATCCTTGGCTACATAGAATTGACTCACCTGAGCTACATGGAATGTCACAAAACAACAAATGACCACAGGAATGTCTCTATGTTAAGAGAACTGTGAAATGTCTAAAACTAAAATTCTAGTTGGTAAAAAATAAATACAGTCCATCTAAGGGCACAAAGGAAGTGCTCAGTTATACTGGAAGCCTAAGATTACAACCTAAAAGCGCTCAAGGTTGGACTGTCATTTGGTTCTCCCCATCCAATCTATCCGACCTGAGCAAACCCCTTCAGTTCTGCAGAGCTGGCCACAGAGGGTGGGCACAGGATGGAGGCAGACTGCAGTCTTCCCCGACATGACTGGAGGAAAGCTGTAGACTGCTCTAAGGCTTGCCCACCCCTCAGTGGACAGAACTGCTGTCTCAGAGTTTAATCCTGCTATGTACAGGCATAGGAGGAGAGTGGTTACAGCGCCTGGGAGTTCACAGCAAGTCCTGTCGGGAACATAACATTTATGGGCCATGTAACCCGGTGCAGACTTGTTGAAACTCTTAAGCATACTCAGGAACAAAAACAAGGAAGACTGATATCCATCACAGGAAAGAACAGAGACTGTTTCCTGGCTCAAATTATGACCTAGACATGCGGTCTTCCTAAGACATTAACATTTAGATATTAAATCCTAGAGTATGACACGCATGGTATGGACGCTGTCTGAAATGTATAGAGCCATCTGTTCTGATGGGCAGACAGAACCCGAGTGGGAAATGTCAACAACAGGAGATAGAGTTAGGTGTTTTCCACTTTGACAAATGTCCAAAATTCTTCATAATAAAATTCTGAGGCAAATGTTACTATTTCTACATGAAAACTGGTTTAATCATATGTTTGAAAAATTATATGGACCTCAGGAAATATAATCAAAGTAATCAAAGTAAGGAAACTGTCGTTTTCAAAGGCCTCAAGCTTACTTGGAAAGGTTCCTCCATCCATGCAGAGATGAAGTACAGCCTGACCCAGACGGAGCTACCTGTCCCAGGCAGTCTCTCAATACACTTTGTTTGTAGATACATAATTCTCTCCACACTATAGAAGAACCAAGCTGGAGCACAGTCAGTGTAGGAAGTTTTTTCCAACATCAGCATCTCAAGCTCCGAGTCCTCTGTGGCATCAAACATAGCCACGAAGATGACTACTGACAGCCTCAGCAGCCAGACTCCCACCCAGAGGACACACTTTACTCCAAAGCAAATTGAGATTGCACTATAAAATGGGGTGGAGGGACCACAGAACAGAAGTCACAAGGACCGTTGCTATTTCAAGCTATCTTATGAACAGTGGCTAATGGCAGTACATCCTGTCACCTCTACCCTCTGTGAAATGCTAACACTTACTAAAGGCACTCATATTCTGGGTTTAACGGATACAAGGTCACATGGGACCATAAGCCAGGACTGGTTTTTTGGTAGCTACAGAGAAAGGGCGTTCACAAAGAGTCCCTATTGATAATGGAAGGAAAGGCGGACAGCTGTCCATATAAATGTCTCATGAGAAGCTATTTACACAGCTAGTGTCCACACAGCAGCTCACAGGAGACTCGCCCATAACAGAACACAAAAGCAACAAAGCATTTTGTTTTTAAATCACATATAAAACTTCTAACAGATTTAAGGGGAGGGGGCAAAGTAGAATTTTTTTTTAAACACCTGTTCAAATATCTACATTAAACTTCTGCATATACCAACAAAATGTTTCCCCATTTCTAAAGACACTCCACCACCTGGGTACAAGGCCCACCAATTTCTCTGAAATCCTTCCAGCCCAAGTCCTGACATTTACAGAACATTCCAAACTGCTGTTCTTGAGCCTCTCCACATAGAAAGCACTACAAGGAAGTTACTTGTCTGCCCTGGACTGCCACTGCTCCATCTCCCTGGAAACACCAGCTAGGATAGTTCCAAGGCCCACTGTCAACTTTTAGATCTTATCTACACAGGAATGCATATGTATGTATAATTTTTTTCTCCCTGTTTGGATTGTAAGGTTGTATAGACCGAGGGCTACAAAAAAACTCTGTAGGGCAGCTCTGGGGTGAGGTGGGAGAGTCACTTCAGCAGATCACAAGCTCTCAGCCACAGTCCTTCATCCATTTCCAGGGCTTCACACCTCCTCGCTAATTCTCTAAGCCCATGGCAAACTTAAAGGGAAAGAGTTGAGGAGGGAGCTTTTTATCAAGACAAATAGTGTGGAAAATTTGTTGGAAAATGCAGAATTCCGTTTGTAAGAGGCAAGCAGACAGGCGTAAAACAATAGGCATGCATTTACAAGTGTCAGGACACAGATCAACCCAGACCAGCAAAGTCTCTGCTCAATGTAAAGTCTAAAAGGTCAAAGAACACAGGGCCATAGCTGAACCTCCAAAGCTAATGCCCTCTGACGGCATATGGGATCCAGACCACCTGACTGAAACTGGACTCTTCCTGAAGCCTTAGATCTGGGTGTTCTGATTGGCCTCATCGTGAAGCAGAGCCACAAGAACAGACTTCAATGCTACAAATAATTGATGAAATGGAAATCTACTTAATTTTGGACTAAGGTCTCCCTTTGTTTACACTTCTATCCATCCATGACTGTGACACATCACAATGTACAGGCTTCCTGGGAACAGAGGGCCAATCCTACAGCAAAACAAAGCCAATAGAGAGCTCACCTAACTGCCTCAGATGCCACCATAGCTTGATCAGACAAAGGGACGCAGTCCATACAGAATTGACATAGTGAGAAACTGCACCGTGCAGTTCTGATACCCTCTGCCCTACCCACTGAATACAACAAGTAAGGATGATACAGCCTCAGCCAGGAAACTTCGAAGTGTTTCGGACATCCACGTAACCTCTAACAATGACCGTAGCACTTACTTATAAACTTCCAGAGTTCGGAAACAAACTGAGTTAGTCATGGGCAACCCGGCCCTGGAGTGTCATAAAACAAATGCATCACTCTCTCTAGTGCAAAGGAATATAGAAAGAACACTATAAATCTAACACTTCACTCCAAAAGAAACCACACGTATGCGTCCCTAACATCCATTAAGGGCACTGGGAGACTAGAAACCTGAATTCATGAGGCTTGAAGACACATCAAGCCCTTAAGTCCACTGTTTTCTCTTTATACAGGAGGAGAGTATTTGGGGCAGGGAGGGGACATCCTTTGAAATGATTCCCAGAGGAAAAAAAACTCAAAGCAGATGAATATCACTTTTATAAAATGTAAATCCATACCCAGGATCTTTCCAAGTTATCTGATATAAAGATGAGATGAAATTCTCTCTGGGATATCATATAAAACTGGGGGGGGGGCTGGGGGGGGGGGCATGTATCTTCAGACACAAACACAGAGACACACAGACGCATACCCTGCAGAGACAACAAATGAGACTGTTAAACAATCACAGAACCAAGTGGCCAGCAGTATATTTAAGTCTACCGAAGAACTATATTTAGCAGCAAAATGAATAACCAAATGGCTAACAAAATACACCCTAAATTGCCGTAAACTGGCCAACTCTATAGATGGCCACAGAGTAGTTCTTGGTATGAGGACTTGCAAATGGAGATCAAATCTTAAGCTAACACTGTTCTTTCTTCTGTTTCTAAGGGGAAAATACTTAACCAAATAGTTCTACTTTTCCAGAAACCAGCATTTCACCAGGAGAAAGTAACCAGGTACTGTCCCAGAAGCTAGTCATAAAATTAACCTTTAATTAAGGGTCTCGACTGCTCTAAAGCAAGAATGAAAAGGAGGGCGCCGAGCACTTCCTCCCTCTCCATCTGCCCAGAGAATTCTCTGGTGACATGAGTACTGAATGAAATATGTATGTTACAGTGCAAAATCCCGCTTGCTGTAAGCCTTCTGCAGAAGGACACGGGCATGCTGGCCTCACCCACGTGAAGGAGAAAGGAGAAGACAAAGAACACACAGTGAACACAAGTTCACATAACACTCCGTCAATCCGTCTAGACATACACTATGGCTTTTTATTTAAAAAATAAGAATCCCATTATAATTAGACACCAAAGTCATCTGTGTTTTCAGTCTCTTCAAGGAGGCAAAGAAGAAAATGCAATGGTTATATGTTTTTCTACTGGAAATGACACTGAAACTTGATCAGCTTTAAAAAAAAAAAGAAGAAGGAGAAAGAGAGAGAGAGAAAGAGAAAGAGAGGGGGGGGAGAGAGAGAGAGAGAGAGAGGGAGAGAGAGAGAGAGAAAATTTTCCACTTAAGAAATAGCAGACAGGGGTATTTTCCAGGCAGGCCCATTACCTTACCTGTCAGGGCAGTGTCAGGATACAATCGTCAAAAAGCCACAAAATAATGACTATCCCATGAGTTCACATAATCATCAGTGAAAATAGAATTTCAAATTGAAATCTCAAACACATCCTTGCATTTCCTTGAATCATCTGAAAATATATTTTCTAAAAGAATATCCATCTTCAACTCATTAGACAGTCAAATCTGGGTCTCCAAAACCAACAGCACAGCGAGCTCATGAGAACGGGGTGAGCGGAACAGCTGATCCGAGTGGGGAAGGAGATGACAAGTCCATGTGTGCAGTTCACAACTGGAGATGAAGTTATGTTCAGAAGAACACAGTATTCTGGACGTATATGAATTCAAGGAAACCTATGTGTCAATTACGGAGGGAGAGATAGGCCATAGGGAACCAGGTGCTGCTGGGAGACCAAGCACACACCATTCATACCAGCACATCTGACTGACACCACACTGTGGTGGTCATGGTTCCCAGGAGCAGCAGGAGACGGGAATCTCTGTTTACCTGTTGTCTCTATAATTGGAAGTAAGAACTCAAGTCAATTTGTCTAATGTGCGTAAACCTAAAACCGCAAAAGTAGATGCCACTTTCAAACAATCGTAGCTCTAAATGGCCAGGCTACTGCTGCTTAACCAGAACCAAGATAAGAAGTTACACCTGATGGGGCAGGAAGCTCACACACCACTGTGAGTTGTTTGACACACTTGGCCCAAAAGAGTATCATCATGACCCAAGAAACACACTTCCCTCCCGCACCCTGACCTGACAGCTCATGGCACCACCGCAGGTTACTCGCACTAAGCAGAGAAATGAGGAATGTACGAATGGAGGATCACGAAGCAAGGCAGGTCGACAGAAGGCAAACAGGCAGGACAGGCTTCTCTGTGAGGATGGCCATCATTGAACATAGCCCAGGTTCTCCATCTCGCTCCTGTACCGCTGCTCGGACACCTTGCTTTTGTGCTGCTTGCTCTCTAGATGCTGCCGAAACTCCACCTCTTCACCAGCTCCAACGTTACACATGGAGCAGTAAAACTGGCCACTTGGAGTAACGCACATGGCGAGATCTCGCGGGATCCTCTGCCGGGAGCGGGCATTGAAGTAAGGGCCTGCTGACGAAAGAGACAGAAGGAAGTCAAGGGAGGAGAGGGAGGCTCGAGGACCTGAGTTCAAGTCTCCAGTATCCACATAAAAGCGTTGTGGCCTGGGCTTGGAGCCACAGTGTGGAAGTCAGAGACAGGAGGATCCTGGGGACTTGCTAGTTACCTAGCCTAGCCCATCAGTGAGCTATATAGGTTCAGTGAGAGATCCTGTCTTAAAATGTAAGGTGGAGAACAATAAAGAAAGATACCCCAAAGTTAAACCTCTAGCCTTTACACACTCAACACACACACACACACACACACACACACACACAAGCAGATCCTCAGAATGTCTATTTAGTAAAAACACTCCACCAGTCCTCATTGTAATCAATAATTCTAAATTCAAATTCAGACTCTTAACTTTAAATGAAGGAGAGGTGAATGGATTTTTTTTTCTTTAGTTACATGTACATAGAAGTTTAATCTACAAACATAAAATGATTTTCCAACTAGTGCCAGGGCACTGACTACAGAGCCACGCCTGTGATAAAGTTCTAAATGCTCCTGGATCTTAAAAGTAAATGTTTAAAGACTGTGACCGAGCATAGTGGCTTACTTCAACACTTGGGAGCCTGTGGCAAAGGACTGTGACAAATTTGAAGCCAGTGTGAGGACCACAGTAAAACCCATGGCTCCAGCCCAGTCTCTGTATTTGGATTACTCTACTCCGAGAACCTAACCTATGTCATCCCCATCCTAAAATGTATTTTCCTTGACATTAGCACAGCTGGGGGATGTCCCTTCATCTCACCTAGCTTTTGAAATACAGCCTGACCATCTTTGTCTTTTAGTTGACGTTGGTCATAACTAGTAATACACTGAGATTACATTCATCAAACCAAAGGTTTTTCCACCTCTCTGTATTTTGTTCTTTAGCTGTCTCTTGTTATTCATTGAAATCTGTTTTTGTTTTCCTGCTTGTACAAACAGCCCCTGCTGGCATGCATAGCACTGGAGGCTGTGGTGGCCAGGAATAGAATAACCAGAGCACATTTCCATAAACACACGGCTCTCCACTGAACATACACATCACTAGAATTCTCACTTATTACCTGTCTAAAGACCACACTGGACATGGTGTGACTTAAAGTCAGGAAGTGTGAGTGTGCATGCATGCTCACACAGACGTCCAGTTTCTCTCTTAATAACTCTCTAACTTATATTTTGAGCCAGAGTCTCAGAGTTCTCAGAGTCTGAACCTGGTCCAGCTAGGCTGTTAGGCCAGTGAGCTCCAGGGACCTTCCACCTTCACCTGAGATAAGAGGTAGGAATGGCTGCACCTGGCTTTTTCCACTTGAGATTGAATCAAACTCAGGTCTTCATGCTTGCATGCCTGCACCATCTTTCCAGCCCCCAAGAGGCCCATTTTCTCATGGGCTTTACATATTTAATCTGATAACTATTTTTTTAAAATGGCTCTAAAACACTAAAACCAAGATAAATAGTGTACTGAATAGGAAATAAAGAATTCCAGAAATAAAGAGCAGCCTGAACAGCCGCTGGAAGAGGAAAACACTCACTAACCTAATTCCTTGGGGCCACCTACTGCTTTCATTTGCAGACACGTGTATGTATGCTTTGTACAATCGGGACACATAGGCTACCTGAATTGCTCTGGACTGTATACATATTCCTCCTGGTGGCCACCATCTTAAATTCATTCCCTTCTTTCCGGGTCCGCCGTTGCCCCGCCTCTACGGAGTCCCTGGTGAAAGGAATTTAAAATGAGTGAGTCGCTGAACAAGGCTTCCTTTCAGCTCCTCCTCTATCACAGTTGCTCTCACATAACAGTCTGTCCTCAGAGGCAATGGCAATACCTACGAGAATGAGTGACTCTGAGCTTCAGCCAGCCGAAGTCTCTTGGCATGGTTCTTCCCCTGGTAGTGCGCCTGGGCCACAGCAGGGGAGCTGAAGGAGGCATCGCACAGCTTACAGTAGTCGTTCTCTGTGGCCAGGATCACCCTGCCCCCTGGCTTGCAGGAGCCCACCTGCCAAAGACACAAAAGAACAGTTCCACTTGGAGGAGTTCCACTCCTCCAGGATCCTTCAGAGCCCTGAGACGTAACCAAAGCCTAGGGCGTGCATGGCAACAGGCACTGAATTTTATAAGAAAGTAAATCCAGGGAAAGAGAGACTAGGAGACCCTTTGTCCCATTTTGGATGACAATTACCTATGAACCAAAGACTACCTAGTGTCCACTGAAAAAACGGTTTTAAAGTGTGGACATTTAAGGTAGGAGGCGAGTAAATGAGTAAGGCCTCCTACTTATTTCACTTACTTTTACTTATTTTAATAAGTAAAAATCTTTTTGCCAGGGAAGTCTACTCAAAATCCACCAATAAATAATGAGCGCCTACTGTATACTGAATAACCTACTTTACTGAGCACCAACTGTGTACTGAGCAGCCCATCTAGACTCAAAGCGCAAAGTTTTGAAAGTTTTAGTCCTATAACCTCTCCAAACCACCTGTGCGTATACAACCAGGGGAAACACCTTGCTAAGTCAGGAAACCAAACACAAGATACTAAACTGCACGGGTTAGCAAAAACTACAAAGTAAACTTTGCTAGAAGAGAGTACACCGTTAAGATTGTGGATACTATGTCTTATCTAGAACAATGGGGGGTGGAGGAGACTAGCATTGGAAGAGAAGATTCTCCAGAGACAGCATGGTATCTTCATATTCTACAGAGTTTGTGCTAAACAAACAAAGTAGCCTATGCTGTTTTCCCAAGAGGAAAGGGAGAGCCACCTGACTCTAGAGCATCCCAAAGAAACTCAAAATGTAAACCCACTCGGCTGGAAGCACTTCTGCTGCCACTTTTAATGTATCTCAATTTCCCGAGAGTCTGAGGAGGAGACTCAGTGGGGTTACCTATCTGAAGGAGGAAAACACTCCAGAAAGTAACATTATACCTTGGTGGTTAGGAACATCAAGCATGGATGAAACAATATTTTGCTTTGCAACATCATGGAAAGTTACTTAGCCTTCCCAGGATTCTAATAAAGCCCCTGTGAGGCCCACCCTGTCATCCCATGGACCAAGTTTTGAATAATAAGGCCAGCACTTCCAAGTAATAGCAAATACTAAATGAGGCCAGGATCCAGGACTAGAACGAAGCCAATTATAAAGTTACCTAGTATGTGGAATTTAAGACAGCATCAAAGCAATCAAGATAAATAATATTTTAATGGAACTGTTTAGATTTATTTTACTTTATATATGTGAAGTTTTTGTCTACATGTATATATGTGCAACATGTGGACCTGGCACCCTCAGAAATCAGAAGAACTAACTTCCCCTACAACTGGAGTTAATGATAATTGTGAGCCACCTTGTGGGTGCATGGAACAAAACCCAGGTCTCGCAAGAGCAGTAAATGTTCCTAACCATTGAGCCATTTCTCCAGTCCTTAAATGTTTTTTGTTGTTGTTGTTGTTGTTGTTGTCGTTCAGAGCAAAGTGTAGACACCACATGGTCATTTCACCTAAATCTGAAGACACAGAACAATGGACAGAACTGTCCCACACATCACTGCCAAGTCCAGTGAGAGATTCCCAAGCTCAAAAACTTTGGCAGATATACCTACAGGAGTTAAGAGTACCAAGAACCTTTCAGGGTGTTGCCCAGCCTGACCCTGATAGACACAGGCACAGGCAACTGTACTCATGACCACATGCATATGACAGCCTCTTTTGTACTGCACTGACTCACCTGTGGAGGGACAGGAACGAGGGGTGTGGCTACAGGCTCTGCCACGCTGCTCACCCTGGCTGGAGGAGGACAGCTGTTAGCTGCATAATAATTTCGGAGTTTCTTGCCATGGTTTTTACCCTAGAGGTAGACACAAAGCAGACAATCACAAAGAAGACCCTTTGTCAGATGGCGATCATCGATGCACCCACCGAGCAGCACTATCTTTGGTGTGCACCCAGGACAAACCACTGGCCAGGTCTGGCTCCATCTTAAAGAGTCTGTGCTTGCTCTGTGTTCTGTTGCTGTGGTAAATGTCATGACCAAAAGCAGCTCGGTAGAGGGAAAGGTTTAGTTTAGCTTGCACTTTCAGGTCACTAAATCAGAGCACAAATGTAAGCAGGCTGGACGGAACTCAAGCAGAATCCATGGATGAACACAGCTTCCCGGCTGACTCGCTGGCTCATGCTCAGCTCAGCTGGCTTTCTTATACAGCCCAGATCCACCCTAGGTAAAGATGGTGACACCCACTGTGGCCTGGACCCTCTGACATCAACTATTAATCAAGACAACCTCTTACACACATGGCCAAGACCAACCCGAGTGAAGCAATCATTCAACTGAGGTTCCCTCTTCCCGGGGGTCGTGTCAAGTTGATAGGAATAACTAACCAAGGCCAGGGCCTACCATTTGGTTCTAGGAGAACCACTGTATTTATCTGGAGAAGGAAACAGAATGCAGCCAAAAGAAACTAATTTCCTCTAAGTTTCTAGGGAAGGCTTGCACCCCCCAGTACTGTGTCCTGCCTAAAGCTTGCCGCCATTCACACACCACTGCTTCAGTAGGAATTCTCGAGATGCTCTGATCTAACTGGCTTCAGAATCAAGTAATGAGATGGCTAATCCAATCACTTTTACAAAAATAGCCCTTGCATAGGGTTACTTCAGAGGTCAATGTGCCTCGGTTCATCAATGCTCATAGAAACCCTGTACCAATCTGCTGATACCGACCATGCCTCACAGTGGAGGGATTGCTGTGGGGGTATCACACGCATCCAGGAGTGAACACTAGCAGAGCCATGACTTTAAACCTTCTCAGCACGGCCGTTATCACACAGCTCGGTGGCTTGTGGCAGCACTCTGAACTTCTCCCAAGTCAGAGAGGCCTTTCTCACCAAGTTTTAAGTTATAAATCACAAGAGTATATTCCTTAAGCTAATAAATAAATACAAACTGGTGGGAAGAATCAGAAGCACTCTGATGGGACTGCAGAGATGACCCAGAAGTTAAGAGAGCTTCCCACCACTGTAGAGGACCTGGGTTCAGCTTCCACCATCTACGCTAGGCAGCACCTGTAATTGCAATCCTAGGAGATCAATGCCTTCTTTCAGCCTCTGTACACACCAAAATATACATGCTGCAAATATATTCATGATATTTACAATATCAAATACATCTTCAAAATTACTTTGAAAACGGGTAAAACAGTTCATTACTTTTAAGCCATGTTGTAAAAGTTAAGCCTTCATACCGACATTTACCATCTACTACCCGCTAACTCCTAGGAATGAACTAAGGACCAGCAGATGACCTAAAGTTCCATCCCCTGCCATCCAAATGTTCCAGCCATACCATTTCCATGAGACTACCAGAGCATCAAGCTCCCAGTCCCCTCTATCATTGTTTTCTTACGTGAACTCTAAGCGTTACTCCACCATTCGTCTTCCCTCAGTCCTTCTCAGAATGTTCTGTCTTCCGTGGCTCCCTCTTACCTCTTCCCGTCTCTCTTCTCCTGTCAGACCTTAAGCTCTACCCTTGACCTTCTTCTCCATCTGTGCTCCAACTCTAGCTCACTCTACCTGGCTTTCTTAAATGAGTAAATGTGTGGCAGATGGTTGTGGTCATAGATACCTTTTATCCCGCCCAGCACTGAGGAGCCAGAGGCAGGTGGATCTCTAGCTCAAGGCCAGCCTAGTCTCCATAGTGAGTTCCAAGCCAGTCAAGACTATATAGTGAAGTTCTATACCAAATAAACAAATGAACAAAAACAGATGGAGGCTCACACAAGTTCAAGGGGTGACAAAGTCTCAGAACACAGTACAAGAACGGAGTATTGTGAGGAGAATTCTGAATGCTTGTGAGAAAACTCCAAAAACAAACCAAGACACAGTCTTGTGACCTCAGTGTCTTTAAAAAACATACAACTGTTCTTACAATGTGTTTTCCTGCTCCTCCCAGGTGTATGTGCCGGACAAGAGTGGGTTAACTTCAGCAGCTCTTATCTGTATGCCTCTATGGAAAAACATGTTTTACCACACTGGGCTTGTTCTTGTGGTAAGTACACTTTACTCAGGTGATTCTTCTTAACCCTCAGAGCATAAACTGTCTGATGCTCTGAATAAAGTTGGCTACTGCACAGGACTACAGTCCACCTCAGTTTTAGGCCCCACTGTCCCAGGTTCAGGCCACCAACAAGAGCGGCAAACACAGGACTATTCCAAAATTAAGACGTGAGGAGGGGAGCTCAGTGACCGAACACATGCCTCGCGTGAGCGAAGCCCTGGTCCCATGCCCAGCACCACCCCTTCCCACACTCTTTGGCAAGCCCCACTGTAATTAATAGTCACTGAGGATGAGAAACATCACTAACTAAGCAAAAGTGCGATGAGAAATAAAAACACACATTCGGTCTCAAAATATCTGTCCGTATGATCCTTACTCAACAGGGAAACAGCATCTTTTCCAAGAAGATCCTTGTAGGCACCACCTTAATTGAGAGATAATTAGCACCATGGAAGGATCCCTGACTCATGCAGCAGAAAGGACACAGCAGTACTCTTGTCAAAACCCACATAGCCTAAACTCAATTAAACCAGGCAAAATCTGCAACACTCTACAAAACCATTCTTCAAAACCATGGTGTAAGTGCTACAATGCTGGCGTTCGTACACGACAAAGAGAAACTGGCAAGCACTCCCTTGCAGTAAAAAGGTAAAAGTTCCCAACTTAATAAGGAAAGGAAAAATAATTCACTGAAGTGACTTATGTCTATATAGAGGAGAGATTTATTCATGAATTGTGAAGTATGGAAAGCCCATGCTGGGCCGTGGCCACCCTCAGACCACACAAGTTACAGCCATGTGCACATGTGCTCAGTTAAACTTGTGAATGCATGTATAGGAAAGAATGACACACACAGGAGTGGTACCATCCAGAGTGTCAGGCAAACTCCGGAGGAGGGTCACAAGATGACAGACAGCCCCAGGGACAGGAAGAGATTACTATATAAAAATCCCAGTCAAAAATCCAGAATCATGTATATCATTACACCACTATATTTCAATAAATTAGGCAAGAGCAAGAAGAAAATTAGTCAAGGGATACGGATTGTAAAGTTTCCACATTTTGAGGTGGGGGGGGACATGAAGGATATAATTTTTAAAAAATTTTTTAACCATTTCCAGAGCTTAGATAACGGATGAAAACAGACAGAAAGTTTTCTACTATGTGCTGACCAGAACAAATTGTAAAGACCCAGACCCAGCCATCAGATTGAAATTTCAGGCTCAAACAATAAAAGAGGAACATAAAACTTTACAGAGAAGGAAATAGAGGGAGAGAAAATTAAAGGATGTTGCCTACAAAGAAATAAACCACAGAGGAAAGTTTCTCTTCAACATCAGATGAGTCTAAACAAAGGAGACTTAGGTAGACGTAAGTCTACCTAGAGCTGTGTTTCTAGTCCAGCACATTGCAGACACTTTTGAAATCTGAGAGCTGAGAAATGTTTATCTCATATTACTTAAAAGTGAGGTTTTGCCGGGTGGTGGTGGCGCACGCCTTTAATCCTAGCACTTGGGAGGCAGAGGCAGGCGGACTTCTGAGTTCAAGAGTTCGAGGCTAGCCTGGTCTACAGAGTGAGTTCCAGGACAGCCAGGGCTACACAGAGAAACACTGTCTCAAAAAAACAAACACACACACAAAAAAAAGAAACTGCTTAAAAGTGAGGTTTTGCTGGTATCTTAGGGTTTCTGCTACTCTGATAAAACATCATGAGCAAAATCAACTTAAAAAAGGAAGCATTTACTTCAACTCACAGCTTATAGTCCATGACTACAGAAGCCAGCAGAAGGGAAGACAAGCCTCAGAGGGATGCTAGCCCACTCCCTGTGACTTGCTCAGCCTGCTTTCTTATACCATCCAAGACCAGTTCCCCAGGTGTGACACTGTACCCAGTGGGCTGAGCCCTCTCACTTCAATCATGAATCAAGAAAATGCCCCGCTCCCACAGACTTGCTCACAGGCAATTACAGAGGCGTTGCCTCAGTTGAGCCCCTTTTCCCAAATTAATCTAGCTTGTGTTGGGACAACATAAACTAACCAAGAGTTAGGATACACAATTACATTCATTCTCTCTTCCTTGGAGTACTGTGACCATACTGCACTCTAAGGAAACAAAAAAGAAGGGAGGTAAGGGGGTGAAGGGGGAGGGGAGAGGACAAAGAAGAAGATAACATTGTTTAGAAAATAGTCACCCAAGGAATAGTGAACAGAAGTACAAAGTTGCAGGTGTGAAACAAGCCAGAGGGCAAACAGGAAAATGGGGTAAGACTGACAGACCTAAGGTACCAAGAGGCATTCCCTGCGATGAAGCGGGTAGAAGTCTGTGGGGAGGGGTGGTGCTATAATAAACATGATAGACAAGAAAGAAGGAAGAGAAAAACAGCTAAAATTCCAGAAAGTAGGAAAGGCTACACAAGGAGTCATGATCTGATGTGAAACAACTAACACAGGAATCAGTGGGCTTCATACAATGAAACTGATTATGAACAACAAAAGACAGACTGAAGAGGCAAGAGGCAATATGGGGAAGAAAGACAGTAATGGGTTTCTTTAGGGCATGTGAGTCTTCCTCCTGTTTTCAAGAAACCCAATAGAAAGTCAAGGAAAAGCAACACAATTTCAAGTTTACAATCTACGTTTGGATCAAAATAAAGAAGATGTGATTTTGAGCAACTTGAACGCTATTCACGTGAACGCCTAACTTGGCTGGATGCTGTTTATCTCCTGAGGACCTAAAGGCCCAATGTCCGCCTTCAACAATTGGAAGCAACCTGTAGACAGAATGTGGAACTGTAAAAC